TCTCATTGAAAATAAACAATTGCAAACACAACACAATTTTAACAAAAATAAATAAATATATATATCAGATGTGTATCAGTATAATAATGCATCCATGCATTCAGTTTTAAAGGGACAGCGGCCTAATTTAGTTGCTGTTTTCTGTGTCATTAATGTTAATCAAACAACAGAAAGAGAGAAAATCACTCACTACTCTTGACTGAATCACTTTAGTAGCCCTAATTAGGATTAATCTAAATTTCATTTATATAAATAAATATGTCTGCTTGAAAGAATGAAGCATGCTGTAAGCAAGTTGTTAAAAAGAATGCATATTATGCAATGCATGTTATGTTTTATTCAGGAATATATAATAAATATAATAAATGCATTACTCTGTAACTAAACCCATTACTGAATCTAGTGGTTTAGATTTAGTGGACTAAAATCGTATGACATTCGACTAAAAGAAGACGATCTAAAACCCTTCAGATCACTAAAATATGACTAAAACTAAATGGCATTTTCATCAAAGACTATGACTAAACCTAAATCAAAATTAACACTGAATACGAGGTACCGCAAAGGTCAGACTCTCTTAGTCATTCATCACATTGAGTAAGACCAATGAACAGCGGTGATGTGCGGCAAAAGGTTGTTGAGCTTCACAAAATGGGAAGTGGCTGCAAGAAAATAGCAAAAACACTGAAAATGCCCATTTCCACCATCAGGGCAATAATTAAGAATTTTTAGTCAAGTGTTATGAATCGGCCTGGAAGAGGACGTGTGTCTATTTTGTGCCAACACACTGTCAGATGGTTCGAGAGCCCAAAAGATCTCCAAGAATCACAGCTGGAGAATTGCAGAAGTTAGTTGGGTCTTGGGGTCAGAAAGTCTCCAAAACTACAATCCATCCGTGGAAGGGTTTCAAGAAAAAAGCCTCTACTCTCATCCAAAAACAAACTCAAGCGTCTTCGGTTTGCCAGACACTACTGGAACTCAAATGGGATCGGTGTCTTGCGAACACGATCTCCACCAAATTCGAGGGTTCCCTTCAGCCCGAGGAGCCCTCTCGAACGCCACCCTTCGTGCGTCGGTAGCCCCCCGGGATCGCCAGATCGGTTGGCGCCCGACCGCAACTTTAACCGCCCATAACTTCCGAACTCCTGGGACTATCGACGTGGGGGTGGTCTCATTCGAAAGGGGGCCTCAAGACGTACACTCGATTCAGCGCGCGAGAGGGTTCCTCGAGCTGAAGGGAACCCCAGAATTTGGTGCGGATCCGCTGCTATATATATAGATATAGCCGTTCAAATTTTCAATGGTATTCTGTCACGGCAGAGAAGAGTCAGGATCCAAGTGCGAGTGCAAAGGTAAGGTTTATTTAGTAATCACAATAACGGAGACACAATGTGATAATCCTCGGGTCCTGGTCGGAAACAGAGCTCCACAGAGAAATCCCTTCAACCACTGCGTAGACCAAACCAAGGAGAAGGCTGAAGATCCGTACCCTGACTGAGCGAGAACTGGAAACAGAGAACTGACAGGGAGACAGGAACATGAGAATAACGAACCGACAAACACACATTGAACAGAGTGGCCTATAAAGGGCTCGCTAACGAGTTGCAGCTGGCACGCTCTGATTGAGCACCAGCTGCAACCACTAACGAGTGACGTACGCACATACAAGCACATGACAAGACGCAGAAAGACCGTCCGGACCCATGAACCGTGACAGTATTCCATACACTTAAGCTTTAAAGCGTTTCATCCAGATAGCGAGTAGCAAAAATGGAGCGCGCTCTGCTGGACAAACTACGTAATTACACTATTTACAAGCAGTTTACCTGCATTTTATGTTCTGTAAAAAAAAAAATTTCCTATCGGTGGCATATCGGCAACATATACGTCGATACCGATATATCTGGGACAGGCTTATATCAGCCGATAAAATCGGCTAAACGATATATCGGTCAGGCTTTAGGTTGGACTCTCATTCTGACAGCACCCATTCACTGAGGATCCATTGCTGAGACACTATGCAATGCAATGCTACATTTCTCCAAATCTGATGAAGAAACAAACTCATCTACATCTTGGATGGCATGAGGGTGAGCACATTTTCAGCAATTTTTCACCAAAAACCAAACCGATACCCTTAGAAAAATCGTGTATTTGCTATGATGAGGGACTCACTGTATATTTAACTCCAGTGAAGTCAGCATCGCCCTCCTGTAACCAGTCATAGAAGTCCTGAGAGTTATCAGTCGGGTCGCCCTCTCCATATGTGGCCATGCAGAAGATTGCCAGAGAGTTCTCAATCTCAGGCAGACGGGAGAGCTCACTCTGCAAATAAAAGTCTGTGTAAACGAACACAAATGGAGAGGAATAAAGAGCCAATTTTCATCCCATCATATGTATCACCATATCATATTCCTCTGGGTCCGCTGACATTCCCTTCATGCCGTAGCGATGAGCATCTTTTGAAAGTCTGTTGGAAAACTCTTCAGCCGTGCCCGTCTGTGAGCCGTAAAACACCACGATGTTCTTACCCTAGAGGGAAATATTAAAGTCATTATCTACTCAAATGACTATTCCACAAGATTCAATCAGTTAATATGGCATTCAACCAAAGAAAACAACCACTTCTGTAACACAGTTAGCACTTCATTGACTTAAAGTGTAAAAACAACCCTATCTGGACTTATTTTGAGAAACTAAAACAGGCGTTCAGTCTGTTTCAGTTACAATTTTTTTTCCAGCCAATTTAGTTTGACAATTTTACCACTTGCCTAAATAAAGATGTTTAATGGCCAATTTCATCTTATCATTTTAACAACCTCTATTGGAGAAGAGAAGGGTAAAAAATCTCTTACCGTTTTCTTCATTTTGTCAATAAAACTGGTTTCCCTGGTTGTTTGAGCACTACAAAACACAGATCACCACAGGTCACACATCATAATGGATTACAAATAACTACACTACAAATGATCGTGTAAACAAATATAGACAAAAAATAATGAAACAAAAACTGGCATTAAATCAGTGTGAAACTCTGTCTTAGTACCTCTGTAACAGATACACCTGAGTTTAAAATGAAGTAGAAATCACCTATCTGGACTATTTCAGTCTCTAATAAAAGAAATTTGTGACCCTGGAGCACAAAAGCAGTGTTAAGTCGCTGGGGGATATTTGTAGCAATAGCCAACAATACATTGCATGGGTCAAAATTATAGATTTTTCTTTTATGCCAAAAATCATTAGGATATTAAGTAAAGATCATGTTCCATGAAGATATTTTGTAAATGTCCTACTGTAAATATATCAAAACTTAATGTTTGATTAGTAATATGCATTGCTGAGAACTTCATTTGGACAACTTTAAAATGATTTTTAAAATAGTGATTTTTTTGCACCCTCAGATTCCAGATTTTCAAATAGTTGTATCTCAGCCAAATATTGTCCTATCCTAACAAACCATACATCAATGGAGAGCTTATTTATTCATGTATAAATATTGTATGTATAAATCTCATAAACCTTATGACTGGTTTTGTGGTCCAGGGTCACATTTGTGACACGTTCTTCATGTTGCCCAGCCATGCAGGGAAAACGGATTCATTAAAGCAAAAAAATTAAATTATTTTATATATAATTTATTTATATATATATATATATATATTATTTAAAGTTATTTTTGCTTAAATTGTTATGATGATCATTTTAATTTGTAACGACACATTGTCCCCAGCTGAAATCTGATTGGCCCTTCATTGTCTGAGGAAAAAATGCTGTAATTTGTATAGAATTGTCATTGTGTGAAGTACCAAGATCCATATATATATATATATATATATATATATTCATTCTTTACTGCAAACTTTCATTCGAATGTTCATCTGCAATTTATCACAAGGGTTTCTAAAACTGAATAAGAGAAAATAATGTATAAAAGAATTAGTTAGAAGTTATGTAAAATAATTTATAAAAGGATTATGCAAAAGTGAATCAAATGTTAAATAAGAATAATACAGAAGAATAATAGTAATTTCAGATAAATAACATATATAACTATGACTTGACCAACTTTCATCCGCCTGTATTTACTCTTCACACTGAGAGTCAAGAACAGAGCACTTTGTGAGTTTACAATTCTTCACTTTCATCTGGAAAATCTGCCCCTATCTTTACACACACACACACACACACACACACACACACACACACA